AGTGAACAACTGCCGTGGTGCTGCAATATTCATAATTTCAGGATTTGTTTGGAAATTCCAGGGGGTGCTTATCACATAACTTTTAATGTTCACTAAGGGACCACTCATAACCTGGGGATTACCTGTATTTATTTTTGCAGAAATTGTGAAAAATCTTTTTTTGAATGTTCATTGCATTTTTACCACGGTGGAGGATAAAAATGCCTTGTACAGAGTCCCAGGCTTTTTGTCCCTGGGTGCCCCCAAGAATTTCAGCCCCAGAATTCCCCAACCAGCATCTCTTGGGGATAGGACCACTAAGCCTATAGTTAGAGATTGAGGCTCCTCATAAAAGGAGAAAATGAGAGAAGAGAAGCAGAAGCGTTTCAAAGTTCATCTTTTCCAAACAGTTCCAGGAATTCAGAAAACCAAGCATGTCTGTTCAGATTGTGTCAGGAATGAAGCACACAAGTAGAAAAAACTATATGAATAGAAAGTATATTTGGGGGAGTTTGGGGCAGTGACAAAACTTGTGTAAAATATCAAATGTAAAGGCTGTTGGGCCATGCAGGAGACCTTCATGGAGAAGACCTATCGGAATATTGAGTTGAGGAGAAAGGAATTGTGGTTTTGAGCACAGGATTTCCAGTTTATTTGCAGCTCCTGCTGTGATCTCCTTTGCTTGGAGTTGCCTCCTTATTAGCCTTTGAGAGCTGGGGCCTGAGAGCAGCATCAATGGACTGATAATTGTGTGGTTCCCCCCCCCCCCCTTGGTCGGGAGATGTGAGGGGAAAAATTGTATAGTAGATAATTTTTAATTTCTAAAACAGCATTGCGTAAGAATCTTGAATAGCTTTTGAGAAAGACAAATAAAGGAAAGTGTCAGAATTTCTGTGAACAGAACACGTTTCCTCTTCTTTCACTTGTCCCTCAGGGGTCCTTAATATTTTTTTCAAAAATGTATCCTTCAGATATAGGGAGGAACATTTTTTTTTAGCAGCGAAAGTGACATTTTAGCTAGGCAGATGAATGATCCTGATTTTTCTGAGATTGGAAGACACCAAAGAAATCCAATATTTATTTCCCTAACACCATTCAGAAAGACAGGTTATAATTTTTTAAATAGCTCTCATTACATGAACGACACTGAACAACCAGGACCGGGCCAGGTATGTGGAGAAACCAAGAGGTTCTTGGCCTGAGTCTTAAGTTGAAGAACTTTCAAATTTAAACACGTGCAAAATTCCTAAAATTTAAAATAGTAAAAATATATTTAATCCGTTTTCCCTTTTTCCTTGATGTCACATTTTAGTGCACCATCTTTATCATGTCTTGTCTTACTATATTTAGGAGTTGGAAATGCTTTGCAATGATCGCAAAGCCTCTGAATCACTCACAGGGCTATATAAAGATATCAAGCAACATTAAATAAAGGCAACTGTTGGAAGAAATATCCAGGTCCAGTTCCAAGCCGGGAGAAAGGCACTGGAGACAAAATGGAGGCTGGGGGCCGAACCACATGGGTTTTGGACAGCTGACCATATGGAGTTGGTTAGGAGTCTTATGGTCAGGAGTCAGAAACCCTTTCAATGTTCCCAAAGCCAGTCTAAGAGTCAGAGGGGATTGTCTACAGCAGGGGTCACCAACTTTTTGGACCTCAGGGACCACCAAACTCATAATTTTAAATCCCACCAACTACTAATATGAATTTTGTCTGATGGTGGCTTGCTGACGTTGATGGGAAAGTCGGTCCCATATTCCAGAGCTGCAGTAGTCACAAGACTGGCTGTTGATGACCAAAGGGCCAGTCCTGTGACTACTGCAGCTCAGGAATATGGGACCGACTTTCCCATGAATGTCAGCAAGCCACCCTGGGGTGGATTTCCCTCCCCCACCGTTGGTTTTACCTTCTACCATGTTTCTTAGACCCCCGAAAAAATGGCTAGGCTATCTTGTTGAGGGGTGTCTTACTTTTTTCCCAACACGCCTTGCCTGACCCCCCCCCCCCAATCCGCTTTTTTCGCGGCCAAAAAGCGAGTGACACGCCTTGCCTGGCTCCCTGCTGGCCAAACACTGATGCTCCACCAGTGGCACTGGGGGGGTGGGGTGGAGAGAGGGAGAGATCCAATCTAACCTCAGAGGGCTGGCGTTCATCTTCTCTCTCTCTCTTGTACACACATACACACACAAACAGAGCTCCCTCACACACACCCCTTCCAAGGCAGCCACGTTCCTTCACTAACCTCCTTTTCAGCTCCATTCTCGGGTGGAGCGGGAAGAGAGACGGTATCCTGTGATCCCAAATAAAGAACGATTGATTGGTAGGAAAACAGGGTGGGGGATTTTCCTGTAGACTTTTTGGGGGATTTTCCCAGGGTCTCTGCTGCTTCTGGTTTCGGCTGCATGCAAGGAAAGCAACAGAAGTCTTTCTCTCCAAACTCCACCAACTATGCGCTTTGTGTGATATGGTCAGGGAATGTAAACACCTTGACTCAACTCACTGGTCCTCTCCGATTCTTCCTCCTGTCGCCACTCAGGTCCAATTCAGCTAGTTGTCAATGTTTACTTACAACAAGACTTTTAGCTGTCTATACCACTATTGGGGTGCAAGGGCATCTCAGAAGTTTGCGAGTGAATATAACTCTATGGTCTGTGTGGATAATCACTGGCGACTTTCCATGACTGGGAGGAGAACACAAAGTGTACCTCCATGCTCCTAGCCCAGCACTATATCCACCCTACCCTATACCCTCTCTATGCTCAGACTGAAGAAACTGGCTGTCAACTCACAAAGCATCCCTGACTTGCTCTCGTGTTGCCATAGGCAAGGGGGATAGGAAAGTGAACTTCGCAGCTGCATCAAGGAGCTGGCATCTCAGTCAAATCAAGGCACATTCCAAGTGATAACACTGAGGTCGTCTCCACGGAAACCTAAATTGCTTCTTTGGGGAATGTGACTGACAGGGCCAGAGGTAAAGCCCGAATTAACAGGTCAGAATTGGCTCCATCTGGTCCGTGCAGTCATGAAGATCCTAATAACTGGATTTCTTTTGAAGCTTGGCTTGAAACTCATGATTTAATTAGGGCATCTTTTGGAACCCTGACACTGGCCTTGGGAGATATGCAAACTCCATGACTAAAGAGGTGAGGGGAAAATGTCTCCCATTGCAAGTCTGCAGCATGTGCATCCTATTCAGAAAAGACTCAGACAAATCTTGCTAATTCACAGGACTATAAGAAGAGGGGAGAAGGTACAAAGAAAATACATGTCACCCAAAAAGAACATGACACAACTTATCAAAAACAGAACCATAAGTGCCAGATTAGGAATGCAAAAAAATAAGAGAATATCTTGTCAGCTCTAGATCAATTCAAATCACTGGGTCTGGACGGACGGCATCCCAGAGTTCTGAAGAAACCAGCAAAGGTGATTTCAGAACCATTGAAAGATACGTTTCAAAGACCTTGGAGTATGGGGAAACTAGAGTTAGTCCTCAACTTACAACATTTCATTTAGTGACTTAGGTTACAATGAAACTGAAACAAGTGACTTATGACCATTTATCACACTTCTGACCATTGTAGCACCCCCATGGTCATATGAGTTACATTCGGATGCTCAACAGCTGACTCAGATTTATGACGGGTGTAGTGTCCGAGAGTCATGTGATCTTCTTTTGTGACCTCCTGACAAGGAATGTTAATGGGGAAACCAGATTCACTCACTTAACGACTGTTATAACCATGTTACTAATTTAAAAACTGCAATAATTCACTTAAATCTGGCAAGAAAAGTAATAAAATTGGGCAAAACTCACTTAACAAGTTTCTCACTTAACCACATACATTTTGGGCTCAATTGTAGTTGTATGTTCAGGACTATCTGAAGCAGGATGGAAAAGTGCTGATGGGGTTCCCATCTTCAAAAAAAGGCGGGGAGGGGGAAGAAATCCAGAGAATTACACACAGATCAACCTGACATTAATACCTGGTAACATCTTGGAAAACGTCCAGGCAACAAATCTATGAACACCTAGAAGCAAACAAAATAATAACCAGTAGCCAACATGGGTTGATCAAAAACAGATC